CTGTTTTATTAACATTTTTATATTGCACTATCTCTTCTTTGTGTATTATATCACCTATTACTAAAAGTAGGATGTTTCCTGTAGGTAGAACAAATTTACATTGTGAATTCATGCTCAGTGTGGCTGCTCAGAATCAGTTTTTTTCCACATACAAACACTTGACTGAGAATTGGATAACAATGATGATAACTCAAATCCTCCAGTATGAGAAGCACACCAAGTCCCAATCAGTAAAAACAAAGAGAAGAATAGAGAACAATTTTAAGAAACTAATTTTTATGTTAGCTTTTTCAGTGGCAGATTTCAAAGCTGTGCTGGTTTTATCAATTTAATAGCAAACCTGTGTATTCTGAGTGTTTAATATTCATTCAGAAAAGACTTTTTCCTTCTCTTCTCACAACTAGAACTTAGATGAACACAGCTGAGCCTTGTGCCTGTAGATGGAAATCATTTTTGTTCCTATAGATGGAAATTTTCTGGCTCATCTTGCAATTTGTGGTTCTCGGGTTTATCCAGGGTCTCAATGCTAACCTCCCCTTTACACGGCTGAAGACTGTCTCCTGCCTCTTTAAGGTCTTACACCATAAACATCTCTCACAGTGCCTCTTGGACAACAGAGGAGCTGCTTTACAAGCATTCTGGTTTGTTAGTTTAACTTCTATTCGGTTCTGGTTTCTGGAGACATATATTTTATTTCTACGGTTTGCACAGCAAACACAGAATTCCCAGGTTGTTTGTAGTAAGACTTTCACATTATCTTGTCTGCCATATTATCTGGAGCAGGTGTTTAACACTAGGTTCAAATTCCATTATATTTCATATTTGAATATTAAACTCTAGGTATGTTTGATACATAAAGATCCCATTATTCATTGCTTAAGTGTCTCTTGCAATATTCTCCTTTGCTTTATTTTCTTTTCTGGCAAAATTCCAACCTTTACATCTTGACATAAATTTAACTTTCTACTTTTTCTGAACTTCAGTCCGTAGAGCAGAAAAACACTGGTTGGCATGGGGCGGGGGAAAGGACCCTGAAACCACGCAGATTGATGCCCCTCCATATCCACAGTCCTTCTCTTAACTAAACCTAGATGGCCCTCTGCAATCCTAGTTTCCCTTGTGAGTCATCTCTCCCATCGCAGCGCTATTTAAAAACCTTTCCACTCTCTTTATCCCCACCCCCTTTGCCTGGCCCCTTTACAGAAGTATTTTCAGAAGATAACCTTACTTTCTACTTCCTGGAGGAAGTAGAGACTAAGAACAGAGCCTTCTCAAATTCTATTCACCTAACTTATTAATTTGTGCTGGAAAATGTACCCTTTCTCCTTTCTTTCTATTACCAAATAACAAAAAAAAAAAATCTCTCCTTTGTCCAAGGAAAGTAACCATATCATTTATCAAGGAAGCCTGGATACTTTTGAAAGTAAAAGAGTAATTCTATCAATAATTATCCCAGGACAACAGGTGTAACCAGAACTGTCCTGGGAAAACCAGAACATATGGTCACTGTCTGTAGAAAGTTTATCATTTCACCTGGCCCCTGGGCTCAGCCCCGTGCCTGCTAAGCACTACAGTCCTTTATACGTCTCCCTTATCTTTTGTGTGTTCAAATTTTCTTAGCATTAGTGCTTTAATATTTTCAATATTTTTAAACCGCTGCCTCTTTCTGACTCCTCCCTTTCTCTGTTGAAGTTATTGAAAAACTTGTCTCTTTTTCCCTCCTCTCTATGACCCATTCTGCCCTTCATTTACAAAAACCTCACTTCCTTCAATTCCTGGCACCCACCCCCGAGAGAAACCTCACTCCCTTTCTGCTATTACTCTGTTCCATTAGTACATATTTGCAATACACAATGCATACATTCATCTTGGGGAATTGGTACATGTAACTAACATAGCTTAATCCTTTTTATTTCCCTTTATCCTCACATCCCTCCCTCCTCACTCTGTCTCTAATTCCCTTCCTGTTTGCAAAAGATCTACCTCCCTGTCTCCTACTATATGTAATACACTTTGTGCTTTGAATCATTTATACTTTGGGTTTCTACATCAGAAAAACCATGTGATATGTAAGCTTCTGTGTCTGATTTTTTTCACTAAGCCTCATGGTCTCCATGTACATCTATTTTCTTATGAACGACTCAAATTTACCCTTCTTTACTTTGACATCATCACACAGGACTCTCTTGTTCTTTAGTAGAACAGATAGCATTTAGCATTATTCAGTTTCTTAGATACTACCATCTGTGTGGTGCTGTGTAATTTACTAGTGTCTGTGTCCCCCAGTTTCCTAAAATAGCCCAATAAAGGACCTTCTCAGAGACTGTTAGTGATGATTAAATGAGATAATCTAACTAAAGTGTTTAGCATCGTGGCACATTTGGAAATGCTAGCCATCTCACTGCTCATCCTTTCAGAAAGATATTCTTGCTGGAACATCTTGAGTTAGATGGTTTTGTCAAGAATTCTGTATGTCACTGTTGGAATCATCTGAGACAAGACAGAAGGGTAGAATGCCCTTATGTTGCCATTCCAGAGGTCCAAAAACCTGCAGATGGTAATTTAGAAAGGGAAGTTTATTTCTCCCAGATGATGGTGTTTCTTTTATGTTCATTATGATAGCTGAGCTTCACACTATACCCAGTGTGTTAATATGCCTGGTATGTTTGTCCTTGTTAGAAGCTCTCAGTCGCAAGGCCTCTTATTTCCTGGCATGCCAACCCATAGTAAGTGTAGAACAGTGTCAAGTGGCATGGAGTTCTGATTCAAAATATTCAATGTGTAACTCATTTGGAGAGTTACTGTAGAGTACATACATATATTCATCAGTCCCAAGTGACCAAGGCCGAGGCACACATTCACATCTCACCACGGCCAAGCTAGTAGACATTTGCAAGTACTTTGGGGGCTCTTTCACTCATTTCTCTGTTGCTTCTCCCACATTCTGAGTGGTAGTTTGGATCAGCTCTTCTTTGAACAGAACGTGTCTGTATTATATATTATAGAAATTCCTCAACTACCACTTCAAGTGGAAGTTATCTGTTTAGAACTTCCAGTGCCAAAACTGATTTGCTGCAATATTAATGTTTCATAAGTAATACTATAATTATTGTAGATGGCATTCGTTAAACGGTTATCTTAAGCCAGCAGTTGCTAAACATGTCACAGATTTGGACTATTTTAGCAAGTACAAGAGGGGTTAGAAATAAACATCTGAGCTAAAATGATTATTTTACCTGTTCTCAGAGGAATTTTAAAAGGTATTGAGAGCTTTCAGTACTATCATGGTTTAATAAAATCTGTAGCATCTATTAACTGTGAAAGAAATGAGTGAAATCATTTAAATGTTAAGAATAAAGAAGGAAGTGTTCAGTTTTACTAATAGGAATGAACCAAAATTAAATGGTGAAGCAAGACCTAACTATAATTGAACTCCAACTAATTGATATTGGTGATAATTTTGGCTGAGCCAAAGTTAAAGCAAGTTATTTTAATACCTAAGAAGATAGTGAGAAAATGACCATCATTGTATATTATAATACAGAGGGCTTATAATTGATGTTTTGATAAGAAAAGCTCAGCAGTACTTTACATGAATGCGTAACATCAAGTTAAAGGAAACACTGTACCTGCACAGCTATTCACTGTATTGAATGCGTGTCTGAATGCTTTTATCTGTTTACTTAGTTTTACTGGAAAAAATCATACCAGTTGTTGACACTAATCTTTAATAGAGTTATTAAATTTTAACAACTATGCTGAAAGTATATCTTTATATTCTGACAACCTCTAGTCCCACCAAGTTCATTCTTTACCTTGAAGAGTTAAAGAGAAGTTTAGGAGTGATCTATGTAATGACATAATAAAATATTGTGTCAATTAGAGACAAATATGGAAAATGAGATCATTAAATTGGTGGGAGGAAGGAAAGACAAAGGCCCACTTGGGAAATAAAAATAATTTTAAAAGAGGAAATAGTGAGTGAGAAAAGGGACAGGAAAAGATAAATTCTGGCTAAAGGAGAGTAAGATGGACTCAAAGACCTGGGGAACCCCTGATGCCTTTCCTGCTTGAACTCTGATTAGTTCCAGCAACTGTACAAGATTTACTAATCAGGTAAGAGAGAAAAATGGCAGTTCCTATAAATTCCAACATTTATTGAGTGTGCACAAAGGACCAGATACTGCTACAAGCTGTTCATATCTTATTTCATTAAGTACAACAAACCTCGCTGTACAGATGAGAAAACTAATAGAGATTGAATCTGGGGCTTGGAGTAATAAGCCTTGGGGAGGTTTTATAATCAGTCTACTCAGAGAGTAGGTATGTGTAAGTTTGTATTTTTAAACAAAATATGATACCATTTTAGATCAAGAGGACCAAATGTTTGGATTCTGATTTCTCGGTGAAGACCTTTCACACCAAGCTATTGAACTGATTTTTAAAAATCACTTTAATGACATACTACTATGCTGCTGACTTGTTACATATTAAATGATCCATGGAAGTAGAATAGTTTTTGGTTACATGTTTTGAGTCCTTTTATTTCTCTCATCTTTTTATGAGAAAGTACAATCTGCAAAAGATTACTTTTTCTCTTTATGCCTTTTAAAAAGCCATTCTAATGCTGAGGATGTGAAATTGGTGTCTCCAAATTTCTAAATGAGGGAGAATTGTCCAAGCCAGGAATAAGTTCTAAAATGCATATTATTTTAGTTCCAAAAGTCCAATTATTTTGGTGTTATACTGAATTTAGTCCATGGTGGTCAAAATTACCCATGATCATGAGAGATAGCTAGAATATGACTTTTTATGATAGTGAAAAATTCTTTCTTTCTCAACTTCTCTTCACTGTTTTCACAGTCTTGACCTATGGTCTGTCATCTGGACAGCTGAGGGATCAGGAATACCTATATTTCCTTCTTAATCTAAAACACAGCATTCCCAGTAGATGTGAGGTCCCCGATCACACTGTGAGGGGGAGGCACGCAGCTTCTTACCCTCGACTTCCAACTTCACCAGCTTGGAATATGCCGTCCCCAGGCTGTTTTTTGCCACACATCTGTACTGTCCGGCATCTTCTTTTTGCACATTGTGAATCCTTAAACTCCCAGATTCAAGAACTGCAATGCGGGTGTTTTCCTGCCAGAGACAAGGATAGAAGTTTGAAAACATCCGGTCTAGGATACAGTTGCCCTTTTTAATCAAGTCATGATCATCAGTATTATCATAAAACATATTAATTTTCATTGGATGTTTATTATGCATAAGATAAAATGATAAGTGAGAGAATACAAGATGATCAAATTAACCATCATTATGATCCTAAGAGATATTGTCATTTTCTTTCATCTCATGAGGACACAAAAGCTTCCTTGACTCCTTAAATATCATACCCAAGTTCGTTTGATTTAAAGCATTTTTTTTTTGTAAGTTCTATTTATCTGCATTTGCTTGTCAGAAACTAAAGCAGAAACTTGAAAGGAGATAAACATAAAATATATAATCATTAATTCATTTAAAAATGACAGTAACAAACCCCTTCCATGTGAACACCAATAACATATAATTTCATGACAATAAATGAAAGGATTTAGTAAGAAGATTCATGCGTTTTACACTTTTTTTGTAAATTTCTTTAATATCTAGCCTAATAAAAAACAATGGATTCTGATCCATGTTTCTGCATTCTATCTGTTGCAATATGTTGTTTCGCTTGAAGCAGTTAAGATAAACCCAGCCTCATGAAGTGCCCTATAATTTGCATAGTTATAGAAATACTTAAATAGAACGAACATTTAATAATAAATAAATATTTAAATTCCATTAAAATGTACACCAGAAAAATTTAAACTTGAAGTCTGTAAGCATGCATCTAAGTGTTTAAGAGATTGTTAAGTTTTAAAATACATTTTTACACAATACTCACTTACCCTAAGAGCACTATCTCCCTTAATCCAGGAGACAGATGGCTTGGGGTTGCCCATTGTAGTACATGGCAGAACAGCTTTTAATCCCTCTATTATTTTTACGTTGATTGGAGGGCGAGTTATTTTAGGTTCTATAGGGAAATAAAATTCAAAATTAGAAAGGCAATATGACTGTTTTGAACTTAGTTTTCACTGTTCAATTCTAAATTGTCATTTCAAAACTCATTTTAAGCATATTACTTTTTAAATTGCACCAAATACTAGACAAGTTCTCAGTGCAATCAAGAAGAAATCATTTTTAAAAGTTTGAGTTATCGGGGCTGGGGATTTAGCTCCGCGGCAAAAAGCGCCTGCCTGGCAAGCGCAAGGTCGTGAGTTCGGTTCCCAGTACCGGAGAAAAACCAAAAAAAAAAAAAAAGTTTGAGTTATCTTTATTTTAGTAAGATCTCTTGTATAAAACAATTTTTTGACACACAGTTTAGGTGTTGAAAATTTCCACAGTATTCTTAATTTTAAAAGCTAGTTACCAAAAAATTGATCAACAAAACCATCAGCATAACAATTCAATATTATTTAAATTATGCCAGTAAACATGAAACATTTATAAAATTGATATGAATATATTTCATATAGTTTTGAATTATTATCTACTTTCCCAATAATTTCCTTTTTAATTTGATTATTAAAGTTGATGTTCAATAATGAGATCAATTTAGCCTCTAGAAAGTAAACCAGATACAAATGTAGATATAGATATAGATTAGAGCAAAACCTGTCATATAATTGGGCAGAATTCAAGTCTGCAAAGAAAATTTGTGTAATTTAGTGTTATGTAAAGTTCAGGTTTCTTTTTTAGAAGAAATAGCTAAAGTTGAGTAGTTCTATTTTTCTAATATGAAGTTTTCAAATAAAGAAGTTATTCAATCTGACATACAGAAGAATTGACAAGTTAAAAATGTTACTTATTTTAGTCTTCACAGATTTATAAAATAATTAAAAAGTACATTGATGCCATTAGCAATCATATAGATATAAAATAAAAGGGTGCATTTGTAGGACAGACTAATGAGAGAGGGGGTTCATTTTATGTCTCTCAGGTCACATGCCAGAACTAATTTGTGATGTTGAGAATGTGAAGGATTTCTCTTTTGCTTTATACTTCAGTGTGTAGGAAAGGAGTGGGGAGAGTCATATGTGACATTTGCAAACACTGTATAACATATTAGTTTTTAATCTAAGCATTTATTATCATTTAAAGTTTTATGGTCCTGAATTCTGGCAAATGTGCAACATAGGCTTTAAAATATGTTATGGGAAAATATCATCTTTGGGGCTGGGGATTTAGCTCAGCGGCAAAAGCGCCTGCTTGGCAAGTGCAAGGTCATGAGTTTGGTTCCTGGTACCGGAGAAAAACCAAAAAAAAAAAAAAAAAGAAAATATCATCTTTGTTACTCTGCTCTTTGTTACTCTACCTACAGCTTACAACTCTAATTGACATTAGTGAATACCTAGACTTCAGATTCTTCCCAGGCACCTCAGTTGTGAGTTGTATTATCATCTAGTTGCAAGCAAAATCTTGGGTTAGGAGTTGCTGTTCTTATAACTGTCAAACAGGGGCTTGTCTATTTATTTAATTATGTTCTCTGGACAAGATCCTTATGATAAGGCTGAGTAACACCTTAGCTATGTGGCATACCTAATAATGTATTTGTCTGTTTATATGAAATTATTCCAGCCTTCTCAGTGAAACAGATATCTTGGTCATCTGTGAGGTGAGCAGTCAGGAGAATCCTCGTAGGAAATTACATATAAAGGGAACTAGGAATGAGTAGAATGTTGATCTTGAGTCATGGATCCCACACTAAAGAAACATGATTCATGGGATAGTCGCAAGTACTGACAATCAGAAATGGCTCTCTTGTTGAAGCAGGATGCTGGAGGTGTGCTACTGTGCCAGCATTGAGTCCTTAGCTGATGAACCTTAGGAGGTTTAAGGAGGAATAACCTGGGGGAGGGGAAGGAAGCTGGAGTAGTGATGGGGGCCAGGAGTCCATGGGAATCTCATGTAGCAGCTCTTTCCAAGCAATGTGAAAGCATTCCAAAAATTTGCCATTTGGTATATACTCACATAAATACAAGTGAACTCTAAGGAGAGGGTAAAAAGAAGAAGAGAAGAGAAAAATAAACAGATTTAACATGGAACCAAGATCTAAAATGTTAATGCTGGAGAGAAAATGAGAATTACAAAAATGGTAGCACCATAACATAGCAAAATATTTTGAAGGTGTTCCAGCCTCAAAATCGAGTCCTCAGCATTTAGCAAGAGAGACTCGTCCAATTTCTTTACTCAATTTTTGTTGTTGTTGTTGTTGTTCTTGCTCCGCATGCAAAAACAAAAACAAAAACAAAACAACTCCAGGTGTGCAGTGGAAAGGCTCTATGTACTCCTGGATGTTTCCAATTGTACCACATCAACTTTCACCCATAGGTGATTCACTTTGCCACTCACTCATCTTCACTTGCAGGGCTCCGCAGCTCTCAGCGGCTCCTCCCACGCCATTGTTGGCTATACAGCAGTAAATGCCATCATCGCTGTCTTCCACACTCAGGATGGTGAGGAGCTGTCCATTCTCCCTAATGCTGTACCGGGTGTCAAAAAGCCTGCGGGTCACAGAGGACAAGACAGATCAGTACATCATCTGTGATTTGTTGCCTTTGCTTAACTGATCACATTGGTGACTTGTTGACACAGAAGCAGGAAAAAGGTGAAATTTGAGTGAGTTGGAAGAATAGCTGTACTTGCTATAGTAACATAAAGCTAGGATATGATAATCACACAAATACTGAGTCCTTCATAATCGCTTTTAAAAGATAATGGCTGCTGCAAATACCAAATATAAACTCTACTTAAGAAAGTATATGGTAATGAAGATATGAATCTTCTTCACTAACTACTGGGAAGAAACATCTAGCAAATGAACATATACACATAAACGTGATGAGCAGAAAGGGTTAAATATTTACAGAAATAATTGACAATTACTTGAATACTCATTCTTCCATTAAAGAAATACTTACAAAGGCTTAATAAGTGTCAGGCACAGGTGTAGTTACTTGTGATACATAAATAAGTGAAACAGCTTCAAACTTTAAAAATCATGCATTTTACATTCATTATCTATTTATGTGCAGACTGCCCATTGAGAAAGGAATTAGGGCAACAGAAAGAATTTGAGAGGAATCATCAACATAAAAGTGCGGGGTTTTCAACCCAATGAGTGTTCTTTATGCCAAATGTATGTGGTAAGCAGAACGACAGTCCCCCCAAATCCATGTCTTAATCATCAGAACCAATGAATAAATAACCTTACAAGGCAAGAAGGACTTTGTAACTGTTAAGATCTCAAACTGGAATATTCTGGGTTATTCACTTGGGCCCAATATAAATATGCATCCTTAAAAATGGAAAAAGGGGGCAGAAGAGTCAGAGAAGGGGATATGACAATGGAGGCAGAGGTCAGACTGATGGAAATTGCTAGCTGTATAAATGAGGGAAGGTGCCAAAGACTGCTAACTGGAAAAACATGAAATAAAATTCTCCTCTAGAGCCTCTGTATTGAAGTCAGCTAGGTCAAAATTTGATTTTAGCCCAATGAGATTTATTTCATACTAATGATTTCTAGCAGGGTAATATAATAAATTCATGTTGTTTTAAGCCGTTAGGTTTATGGTAATTTATTACAGCAACAATAGGAAATAAATGTATATGGTCGTATCTAACAGCATGGTGTTGCTACACAAATATTTAATAATGGAGATGTGGCCTTGTGATTGGAAAGGGATAGAACTGGATGGATTTTGAGGAGAATGATGAAAAAAGGCTACACTTGCTAAAGAAATTGTGAGTAAAAAAATACAAGTTAATGACTGCCAGTAAAGATTAAAAGGAAATGAGAGAAGCAGTGAAGAAAATCTAAATCTTTTCAGAGAATACTTGGATTATCATGAAAAGGCAATTGGTAGAATATGCATGTTAAAAGCACTGGGGAAGGCTCAATTGGAAATGAACAATATGTTACTCAAGAGTGAAGGAAAGATCCTTGTTATACCACGGTAGAGATCTTAGCTAAATGGTATCTGGAAGTTACATGGAAACCAAAATTTATCAATGTTTAGCTCAGATAGTTAGCTGAGAATATTTCCAAGCAAAGCATTGAAGAGGTGGCCTGGTTTCTTTTGTTGCTTATGATTTGAGGAAGAATTATTAAGCAAAAAGAAGCCAGGACTTGCAGAAGTCCTATCTAGATTGCAGAAACTTCTCAAAAATATTTCACATACTTTAATTTGGTCTGTGAGTCTCCCTGCTCCAAAATGTCCAGGAGACCTTGCCTGATAGAACATTTCAAGGATATAGCACAAGGTAGTTTCTCCAACACAAGGTAATTTCCCACATTAGAACATATTTAATAGAAGAAAACACTACATTTATTATAGAGATAATAAAAATAAAGATGTTAGTTTTCCCATTCAAGTTCATGAACCCTTGTCTATGGATACTCATTTAAACATCTGTTATAGATTACTTGTCTTCCCCCAAAATTCATGTGTTGAAATTTAATCCCCAATATGATAATATTAGTAGGAAAAGCCTTTGGAAGATGATTAGATATGAGTGTGGAGCCTCATGAGTGGTATTAATGCCCCTTAAAAGAGACTCAAAGGAGTTCTCTTGCCCCTTCCCTCAAGTGAGGACACAACACCAAAAAGGCTAGCTCTGAAACAGAGTGGGCCCTTCCTAGACATGAATCTTCTGACTCTGAGGTTGGAGTTATCAGCCTCCAAAAGTGTGACAAATAAATTTCTCTTGTTTATAAGCTGTCCAGTCTATGGACTTTGCTGTTGTTGCTGCTGTTCCTGCTGCTATTGTTGCTGTTGTTGATGATGCTGTTGTTAATGATGTTGTTGTTATAGTAGCATTTAGCCTTAATGCAAGTTATATTGCCTGCTAGAGAGCCTGTGGTTCATTTTGTTACAAAGTTTTTACAGAGTATTTTGGATCAGATAACATTATAATGAGAAAAGGATAGCATAACCTTTATCTGCCAAATTATCATCTTATATGTTTGACAGTCTGTCTCACTCCATACTGTCAGTCCATTCTAACTTTAAAAAGAAAAAGTGATCTTGTAGTCAGATTCCTTGACAAATGATTGCACATGTTTGGGATATTTGAAATATAAGAGATAAGGCATGTCCTGGAACATATACACGTAGACTAAGGATGTCACAGTATTTCCTAATTACTGTGAAGTTTCTTGTAGGTTCTCATCTGGAAGCCTCCTTGATTTACTCATGTCAGATAACTCACTATTTTTTGGAGGGGAGGAAGGGATTCTTAAAATTCACTGAAATTCACATCTTACATTTATAAAATGAGATAATTTACATTTACATATTCTAGGAGGTGAACTTTAGCACCGCCAAGAGCTACATTTTCATTTATGGCAAAGATAAAGTGCAGGCTGGGGCTATAGCTCAGTGGCATAAGTGCCTGCCTGGCAAGCACAAATCCTGAGTTCGATTCCCGGTACCAAAAAAAAAAAAAAAAAAGATAAAGTGCAAAGCAGCCACAGACAGTCCTACCAGAATAAAGTAGAATACATACTTAATGAGAATTTTATTTCTGGTCCAAGAAATCTCAGGCTGAGGATAGGATTCCACTGCACACATGAAAGTAGCCACTTCTTCAACTAGGGCATCCACAGTTTCAAGAGGAGTAGTAATGACAGGAGCTGAAAGGAGGAGAAATCAAAGTAGAACATTCTAGAATATGTTTACTAATCCTTCCTTAAAGCAACCAGAAGCCATCACATTCCTGAGAGAGAATTATATTTTCCCAGAGCAAAAATTTGCCAAGAGAAAAGAAGATTTTTCAGGAGAGAACATTGTTTATCCTCCCAAACTGTGCATTTGAGCATCAAAAAAGAGGGCTTTAAGGAGAGCAATGTTTAGAATTTATCATATGAGTAGAAGCAGATCCAGATTATGTCTAGCCCCACATTATATAATTTGGCTTCTCTTTTTAAAGAAAAAATAAAATTCTGAATGCAAAATTTCTGTGGCCACCCCAGTACTACTCAACATGACTGGAAGGGAGTGAATGTGAACAGAAGTCAGAATGGAAAAGGACAGCATTCTCAACATGGTATAAAATTAACATTTTTAACAAATTTCATGAATATATGTGTTTACAGCAATACATTGTTAGTGCTCTCTGGCAATCTTAGAAAGGAATTTAGAAAATGGGAAACTTTGAAACTTATTTCATCAAATTAATAAAAAAATCACATCTGTATGTAAATACTCAATAATACTCAATAATAAAGACAAATAACCCGAACAAAAATTGTAAGAATCTGAATAAACATTTCTCCAAAAAAACCACACAAATAGCTAATAATGATATAAAAAGATGCTCAATATCACTAGCCATTCAGGAAATGCAAACCAAAACCATAAGATAATACTTCACCTACAGTAGAATAGTTATAATAAAGAAGAAAGATAATAAATGTTGAAAAGGATGTGAAGGAACCTTTGTGCTTTGCTGGTAGGAATTAAAGTGGTGCTGCCACCGAAGAATATGGTGTTTCTTAAAAAAATTGTACACTTCAACATTTTCACTTCTGGGTATATATTCAAAGGAATCAAAAGCCAGGACTCAAATAGACATTTGTACATCCATGTTCATAACAGTATTATTCACTAACAAAAAAATTGAAAGCAACAGAAATCTGTCAAATATAGATAAATAAAATGTATATATCTGTATAATGGAATATTTAACAATGAAAACAAGTGAAATCTCATTATATTCTACAACATGCAGAAACTTTGGAAACAGTAAACTAAGTGAAAGAAGATTACAAAGATTGCCTCCTAGCTCTCCTATTCCCCAGTTCTCACCAGTCCTAAGCAAACATGAATATAAATATTTATATATATATATAAAATATATACATCACAAGATTTTATATATATGAAGTGTCCAGAATCTATAGAGAAAGAAAATATATTCGTGTTTGCTTAGGAATGGGTGAGAACTGGGGAACAGGAGAGCTAGGAGGTAATAGCAAGTGATGCAGGTTTTCATCTAAATATATGTAATGAAAGTGCTCTAAGATTGATTATGGGAATTAATGTACAACTGTTAATTTTTTATTTATATGTGTAATGCACAGGGTGCAAAAATTATATCTCTATAAATCTATTTTATTCTATGTTTACAAAAATAAAGAAAACAGAAAGAGAGGCTCCAGATGTGGTGCCTTTTCTCCTCCCTCAACTCTCCTGTAAAATGAGAATTACCTGGATTGGAAAGTGTAACAGGAAGTTAGGAAGGATAAAAATGCATTGGTGGGGCTGGGGATTTAGCTCAGCGGCACAGCGCCTGCCTGGCAAACATGAGGTTGTGAGTTCAATTCCCAGTACCGCAAAACAAACAAACAAACAAAAAAATGCATTGGTAAAGGATGGCCTTCATCTTCAGTGTTTCTAGAATAAAAGTTTCTGTGAATCTCCTCGAAATAAAGGTGCTGGAGTCCTGGGCATCTCAAGGGCTGTGTTCTATGAAACGAAAATGTTAAAACCTATGCTTAGGTAAGCTTGAAAAGTCTATCCTGTTGCATAATCATTACCATTACCGTGTCATCATTATTATTCAACAAATATTTACTGTTTTCATGTAGCAGGTACTGGGTTGGACTAGAAGCAAATAAATGGGGTGTATATTTGCACAGTGGAAAACTGGCCATGAGAAAGCATGAAGTCCTGTCCTTTAGGACTACATGGATATATGTGAAGATCATTATGTTAAATGAAACAAGGCATGCATACGCAAAACACTACACTATCTTACCCATGAGTGGAATCTACGAACACTGATTTCATAGAAGTAGAGAGCAGAGGAGTGGTTAGTAGGCTGTTGAGAGGATAGGGAGGACAGAGGAGCGGAAGAGGCTGATAAGCTAGTACAGTGTTATTGTTTTGATAGTAGGACTAACTTCTGGAGTTCTATGGCACAGCTGGTGAATATTTATTTATTAATTATTTATTTATTTATTTATTTTTTCCGGTACCGAGAATCAAACTCATGACGTCGCGCTTGCAAGGCAGGCGCTGTGCCACTGAGCTAAATCCCCAGCCCCAACAGCTGGTGAATATAATAAACAATAATGCATGTGTATCTCAAAATAAAAGAGAGGAATGTACTCACCATAAAGAAATAACTAGAATTTTAAGGTGATGGTTATGCCAATTATACCGAGTTGATCAATACTCAATGTATACATTAATCAAGATACCACATTGTACCTCATAAATATGTACAGATATTATGTGTCCATAAAAAATGATAAAAAAAATCAGAGGAGGACAAAATTATAAGGTATGTTTCTGCCTTGTAAGGGTCCATTTGAAAGATAAGACAGGATATGTGAAATATCAGCTGTAATAATTCTATGTCTATTATTATTTCATAATTATTAAGAGAGTCCCCTGTTCTTCAGAAATACCTACATTTCAACAATAAATTATAAAATGACTTTACTTGAACTGCAAGATGAAATCAAAGCCAAATAAGTAGTAAGAATAATATTTTAGAGGGGGCATAATTCATAATAGTTTTATGAAGTGCCTAGAGAAGCCTGACCTATTGTCTGAACACAAAAATACCTACACTTTTTGAACAAATTTTATGATTTTTAGAGGAATGAAAAGCAAGCTCATATGCAGCAAGTGGGAGGAAATGGTAGTAAGAGTGTCTCATTGGCCCATATCTCCCCAGCTAACGTTCTTTCTTTAAATTCTGATTTAAGCATTGTCTTCTCCCAGTTTCCCTGCCTTCTAAGACAGAACTAAATGCCCTTTTCCTTAACTTTGGACCATCCTGTATATGTTATCCTTATAACACTTGTCACAAGAGTCTATTAAAATGATCTGTTTATGTCTTCCTTCTACACTCAATTTTCAAAACTCTGAGCTTTGGGTCATGGACTACTTCTTAGACTGCTTTAAAATTCCAACATTAACACAAAGACATCTGCTGTTCAAACAAACTAAACTGTATTTCTGAGACTTTTAAAAGAGGAGTAAAGGGAAATGTTGCAGGGGTGTAGTTGAAATAAGAGAGCAGAATCTTTAGGTAAAACAACACATTGCGTATAGACATCAGGGCTCTCTCTCTCTCTGTCTCTTTTCACTAACTTTCCAATACAATAGCCATTACAATATACATAATACAATACATAGAGATAGAGGTGGACATTACTCGAGAATAGCAAAGAGGCATAAATTATAGAATGAGAGATATCATTGTCAACAAGACCAATGGAAGGAAAAGACTGGATTATCAAAGAACATTTTTTTGGGAAAAATGAAGAATTCAAAGGTTTGCAGGTAAGTTCTTTTGAATTTTGTGAAAGAATCATCATGTCACATAAAAGCTACAAGGAATGAAGAAAAAAGAAGTTCATCCTCAAATAAATTGGATTAAATCTTAGAAAATTAAAACTGAAATTTTAAGTCCTAAGAGGAAGAAAAAGTCAATTACATTAATTAAAATGCCAACTAGGCTGACCTTGATATTATTCAGCAACAACTGATACGAAAAGGAAATAGACTAATGTCTTTAAAATCCTGAAAAAAAATGTGAGCCTGAAACTTGCATGGTCATTTTAGATAATAATTTTAAAGAAATCAAAATTAAGACACTTAAAATATATATATATAAGGTGTATGCTTTTCATAGAGGTTCCTGAAACAGTTATTAAAGTATATAAACTCTGTAAGAAATAACTTGTCCTCAAAAGATAAGGGGGCATTATGAGAAACAATACTTGGCATTGGTATTGGTAAGATATAATTGCTGTTTGATATACTGTGGAAAATTGGCATGAAAATTATGGTTTTTTTCTATATTTAAAAAGAAGCAGAATTAAATTTGAGACAAACAATACAAGATAAGAATTCAGGGCTGAAGTTTAGTAGCTAGTTAACATGTGCTAAGCTCTATGCTGTGAACAGTAAGATGACCGAGTAAGCATGAACTGGGTGAAAACTTATGATTAAATGCATATGTTAAACTTTATTAATGGTCACTACTAGAAACATAAACTAAAAACTCAAACTTCTAAATCATCAGAAGAAAAAGAAGGACTAGGAAAACTATTATCAGTCAAATAGCTCCCAAGTAATCAGGGAATCAAAAAGACAGAAAGAAAAAGAAGACAAAGATAAAAAAAAAAAAAAAAAAAAAAAAAAAAAAAAAAAAAAAAAAAAAAAAAAAACAAACAAACCTTATGTTTAACAGAAGGCAGATAATCATGTTGGTGAAATTAACCCAAATATATCAGAAATCACAGTGAATGATACTAGTGTAAATTGAACTATGGCATGAAAGACACAAAGCACAAAAGAGAGCTAAATAAAATGAAATAAAGCAAAGCAATAATGAAAATAAAGAGAAGTCAAAATAAATACATCAGTTTTTATATAAGAATATAAAATGATATAACAGTTTTAATATAAGAAAAATATAACATGATAATCATTTATAAAGAAAAAGGGAAATACTACTCAGAAGACAGTCCATCAAGAAGATTCATATACATTATGAATGTAACATTCATATACATTATTTAAAAATATAGACTCAAAATAAATAAAGTCAGAAGTAAAACTAAAATTTTCATGAAAATATGGAGGAATTTCTAGCATAACATAAGCCTTTAAC